AAACACACAAAACATGATGCCAATATCAAACAGCTTTCATGGGCTTTATCTATAAATTTCTGTTAAACATAACTAGAAAATCACCTGTATTAAACAAGATGTAGCTCATCTAGAGTGAAAATCTACTATTAGAAATGTACTGAAAAATTCATTCAAACCCAAGAGGCTGGAAAGGGGCACTGCTGCCTTTATTGAATCACAAATCTAGGCCAGAAGTGTTCTCTCTCATCTGAATCTGAATGGAAGAAATTCTTATGACATAACAGTAATCTCTGATGACAAAATATTTGTTTTGGATAGAAATGAAACGCTTTCTTTTTCTTTTTTTTTCTCTGAGCTATTTTTCTTTCTTTCCTTGTGACATACATGTGATCATACATGACCAAGAAGATGAAGAGAAACTGGTTGTAATCTGCTGTACTCCTGGCACCCTAGAAGAGTGAGACAAGGTGCAGCAATTTGCAGAACCTCCAGAATTATCCACTGTATTGGAAGGGTTAAAATTCTTTGACAATTTCCTCTCTATTTATTTTAGGCATGTGACTGCTCTGTAGTGTTCATCGCTTTCCACGTTTTTTTTTTCTGATGTGAAAAAGCATGTCAACATGAAAAAATTTTAACCCTTCTTCAGGAACTTTGGATTTTGTGGAAATTCTTTCCCTCTGGTGATGAAATCAGGCATTACCTTCTACCATGTCAGAAATAAGAAAAATTTTTTTAATATAACGTTTAAGTATCATCAGCCACATGTTCTTCTTAACTTCAGAGTAGTTACATCAGCATAATCTTAACATTATAGCAATTATTATTATTATTATTATTATTCAATAGCAATGCAAAAATAGTATACTGATGACCATATGGAAGAATTGCATGGCTTGTTTCAGGAACAGAAGCTCTCTATTCCTTCACTGAAGAAAGGGCTTACAGTTCCACCCACATAACTGTTTTCTGTGGTCCAAAATTCAGACAAGAGATGTATGCTTTTGGATATCCCTCTTGGGTGTACTGATGATTGGTCCCACAACACCACAAATCCAAATAGTTTTCCATGCAAGCCTTCCATGCCAGTGCAAGCCTTTGATGTCCTGTTTCTGCCTCTTGATCCATGATTACATGAATCTCACACATTATATTAGAAAAAATATAAATCTGTACTATGTATCACATTATATCCACATCTTTATCACCAGTATCTTTTCATTTTTTTCCAAGATTCAAATGAAAAATATGTACTTTCTGCTTACAGGAAGAAATGGACAACCTGAGTAAGAAACCTGCCAAATAGAATTTTTTTTTATATTGTATTTGTCAGGACATCACTCAGCACCTCATCTTTGATCAGATTCTGCCACTGTAAGTGGCTGACAGAGACTGCTTTATCACTAGTCTCTAGAAATAGGAAGTGAATGCTCCTAATCTAGCTAGTTTGATAAACGCTTTCTGCTTGGGTTTCCCCCTACAGTTCAGGTCCCTTCAGAATCTGTGGTTTTTTTTAGAAAACTATTTATATCTCTCCTAATTATAAAAGGAAGGTGTTTGTTTGTTTGTTTGTTTGTTTGTTTTACCAGAAAACCATGAACCTGAGAAGATCCTGAAAAGAGAGTTGCTAGGTAATGATGCAGTCTATGGCCCAATTCCAGTGCCCCCTATATTTTCTCTATCTCCTCATCACAATCCCACAAGATGTCACTGTGAACCTGGAAGGAGATAACAGAAGACAAATTTTGTTGCTGGAATAATTTTGGATACCATAAATCTTTAACAGAGAAAACAGCTCTCTGCGCACTGGGGTTAAAAAAAGGTCTCCTGTTTACTTTACTAAACCTGGAGAAGGAACCACCAGGTCTGGAAATCTGGAAAATCATTTTATTGCCAACTCCACTTGGTGATGTTGAGTGCCTTTGGTTGACACTAGTTAGAGACCAATACAGTAGGAAGATGACACAATTTTCTTGGACGTTGTAAGGAAGTAATGGCTCTTATGGCTCTTAGCAGACCTAATCCTAGCCATGCGTAATCTATGTATCCCTACACACACACACACACACATATATACACAATATAAACACCCATATGTTATACAGTGTTACATTACAAAACTAGTAATGTAATAAAGCCAACCTCCCATCCACCTTCCTGTGAATATTTCTGGATATTTACAAACTTCTATATGATTTACTCTAATTTTCCAGTCTCTTGACACCCTATTTAGAGATATTCCCATTAAAATCCTTAAACCAATAAATTAAATTAAAATCTATCCATAAAATTGACAGACTACATGTTTTGCAAGAAAGTATTAGAAAGTCCAGTGCTCTTTGAACATCTCATGAAACTCATAATTTCACCTACAATTTAGGACTTAATCTTCAAAGTTTAATAGTTAGTGTACTTCTGAATAAAATCCTTAATTTTCAACTATAAAGAAGATTTATGCTTTTTAACCAACACAACATTATGCTAAACTGTGTTTCACTTAGGGCAGCAATTTCTGTTGTGTGTTAACCCATGGTAGCATCTGGCCTCTTGGCAGGTTCTGTAGACAACTGGCAACTTAACAACTAACATGTCTGTCAGATGGTGAGGCGGTTGCTGATGGGTTGTGCCTGCATCATTTCCCCAGATGTCTTCCTTTTTAAAATTTACATTAACTCTATAAAATCTGTACATCTGTCTGTAAAAAATTTACTGTTTACTTTTATAAAGCAAGGAGGATAGAGGTATTTTTTTGGAATTCAATGTTCTGTACACCTTTGGTTGAACTTTCAATAATTAAAATTATCCTTGTGCTTTATTTTATTTTCAGTTAAGTTCTTTTTTATTATGTACCAGTTTCAGTTGCTCTGTTATAATTTTTTGAGGTTATGAGTTTTTCCTAAGTGTTTGAGGTAGCACAGAAATGGATGTATTTTATATGTATAGAAACTGTAAGATGTTTAACCAGCTCCTTTGAAACTGGAATAAAAGGAAAAAAAATTTAAGCATTTCAGCTTGTTTGTTCTCTAGAGACAGAGTATTGTTACTCATCCATCTACTTCATGCTGAAATGTATGCCAGTGACTGAGATATTTGTCTGTCTTTTACAAAATTTAATGTCATTGAAGAATTTTTTCCCATTTCCTCAAGGCAGCAACTGTTTCTTCATTGAGTGATCTTTAGTCTCCATCCCTCTTCAATATTTTTTTTTCTTAAATGTGGAATTAGTCCATTAACTTAGAACACAGTTTTAGACTCTCAGATAATATGGAGAGAAATTGTGTGACCTTCTTGCTTGCACACTATGGGGAAATCACCACAGGAACAGATCGCTGAACCAAAGAAAAACAAACAATGCTGGACACTTGCCTTTTCATAAATCTTTACCTGGGGTCAGCCATCAGCTTTGTCAGTTGATATTATGTAGCCAAACAGCAAGAGGTGTAAACCAGCTGAGATGCAAAGGTAATGACCTTTAGAGAGTGCCTTGGATTTAGTTCATTTGTCTTGGTAGTCGTTGAAAAAGGAATGGTGAAAAGGCACCAAATAGCATCTCAAAATGAGGTACCAAGAAAATTATTCCCTGCTTGTTTTATGGAGAAAGAATTCTTTTTAGTCAATCCTTTGTTATTTCAAGACAACCATTTAAATAAAATACCAAATAAGACAACAAAAATCCTGTTTTCCATCCCCCAGAGGAAAAATTGTTTCTTGACACTCATAGGGATCTCTTATGCCAGTTCATAGTGGTTGCCAGGCTGATGGAGGACTGAAATTTGAGAAGCAAAAAAACATACTGTATTATCTCAATTTTTTTAATCCAATGAAACCTTCAGGGAGGAGAAATTGCCATCCAAAAGAATTGCTTAGAATGTTGACAAATCCTATTGGTAAAGCTAATTAGTCTAATAATGCTATACTTGGCTAAAGAAAAAGAAAAATAGCTCTCTGGCAATAATTAAACTGGTTGCCTGGGAAAAATACTATGCCTTACTCCCCTATTGAGAAGCAGAATCAAACAGCTCTGAGCTGGGTACCGAAATTCCCAAACTATGAATCACATCCGCAAAGGAAGATTTCCAGCTTCATCTTCTTTCTGACATATATTCAGAAAAAAATAGAGTCAAGACTTTGACATTCTGCTACAGCTTTTAAATGCGATGTAAGCAGCTACAAATTTTTGTCCTTCTGAATTATTTTCCGTTTCTTTTGTAGGATTTTTTCCCCTATGGTTTGGGGTTGAGTGGGCTTGTTTTATTGTTTGTTTGCTTTTTCTTTAAGAACAATTGGTCAGGAAAGCATTCAGACATGTCTTGATCCACATAAATTTTTGGTCCTACTTACAAGTAGAATAAAGCTCCTCACTGATAGCATTATGATATTGTTTGCATTCATATGATGTGATTCAAGATATGGTATCATTCAAGATAGCTTATATAACAATTTACATATTCACATCAGGGAATAGTTATTAATTGTTTGAAAGTTTTAAAAAGGCTCACAGAACTAGTCTTCCTAAATTAAAAAAATCATAAAAAATCAGAATAATTTGCTTCTCGTTTAAGCTGTGGCTTTGAGCTTTCTGTCTTTTTTAACTTTTTGAGCTTTCTGTCCAGTAATTGTTGTACTAAAGATTTGAGGGAAAGACCATACTGTTCAGAACTCATTAACTTTTTTAATTTTACCACAAAGTATAAATCAGACATTGATTTAGAGCAGTTCTTATTTTTCACTCCTAAGCAAACCTGATGCTGAAATTTTATTATACCAGAACTATAAAAAAGCACCCCTCTCAAATTCCATACAAGTACAACTCATTAATAAATCAACTGTTTTGTTTAAAAAATCGATAGAAATTTAAAATGTTTCAGTATTTTACAAAGCAATGACCTAAATAGTCAGCTAGTGTTTGCCTTGGGTTCAGCACAAATAAATCATGCCAGTGAGGTTCAGTCATTTCCTCAGATTGAAGTGGAATGTTGCCAAGAAGTTACATTCAAAAACTCACATTGTTGGGTGTTGCAGTTATTGTTCAACAGGGACTGCTGAGAATTGCATCTGAGGGTAGACAAAGGTGAACATAAAAAAAATTAAGGACCTGAATTTAAATCTGACAATAACACAGAAAGAAGTATGACTAATTTCATCCTACAACACTACCTGAAACTTCTGGTTCTAAATGTCAGGTTAAAAGTTAATGTTCAAAAGCAGAGTTTTCCACTAATATTTCCCCAGACTTTTATGAACACCACTTGAATTTTTCTGTGATTGGACATTATTTACTCCTCTTGCAATCCAGAACTTACAAATAAATAAGCAAATATTTTAAAAAAGGAGGGATAGTTAACCATTTTTTTTAACTGAAAGGAAGACATAAATCTGCCTTTGATTCATAATTTGAATAAAGATTGATTGCTGTTATTTTAACTAAATCCTTCCATTATGTCTTCACATTAGCTGCTTATGAAATTAAAAATTACAGTTATTCAGAATAATTATTAAAAATAATATAGAATATATTGTTTGTTTAACTACTCACACTTATGCAGGTGTGTTTGTGAGATTACTAATGTATGATAACTCTGGATACTTTTTTACATTGGATTGTTCTATTTCAGACTGGGTTGTGTACTCTTCTTCTTTAAAGATGTCATGAGAGTTATATGTTGACCCACACTCCTTTCCCAATTTCAACACAACTGTAATTGTCAGCCCCAGGGAAGTTTGGTCTTGTAGAGTTGTCTTTGTTTGTTTGTTTATATGGGGGTGATGGTCTAGAAAGGACTTATTTCTTATACTATAATATAAAGGAAAGATTAATAAAGCTCTGTGTTACCCTTGTTTACTAAGTATTACAAGGAAAAAAATCTTTAACTTGGGCCTTAAAAAGTATTCTTACTACTCTCAAGTCTACAATTTCTTTCTCCTCAGTGTTTCATGCCATGATTTCCTTGGTCCTTCAGTTTGCCAGGATGTTGGAATAATCAAAACACTCTCCAACTTAATTCTGGTTAGTTTTATTTTTTTTCACTAATAAGAAAATACCTTTTTTATAAGGATTAGTTTTTTCCCCTCCATGCACAGGTAACTGCAATCTGTAATTACCTTCCTAAAAAGAATTTCCTGATGGTTTTTCTGTTTGGAAAACATGTTCAAGTTTAAATAACAGTATACACCAAAAAAAAAAATATTAAACAAAGACCACCAAATTTTAGAATGGTTTAGGTTGCAAGGGACCTGAAAGATCATCTACTTCCATCCCCCCTGCCTTTGGCAGGGACACCTTCCACTGGACCAGGTTGTTCAAATATCGCCTTGAACACTTCCAGGTATGGGGCATCCACAACTTCTCTGGGCACCCTGTTCCAGTATAATTGATTCAGATCCTTATCTGGTTCAATGCTTATTCTTCCAGATATATCTCTTATTGTAGTGTGTTTTCAATTTATAAGTTCTAAGATTTTTCACACTTTTGACTTGAACTACCCATTCAGATGATGATATTGATAAATATCAGTGGATATTTAGGAGAAAAAAAATCAGGATTACATACATGACAAGAATTTCCTCTGATGCATCTTTCTGTCAATCATTGAAGACCTAATATGAAGGAATCACTGTGCTCAGTAGGTGCCATTAAGCCCCTATTTCAGAAATTGATTTAGTCTGTTTTAACACTTTTATTTCTTTGACTTTCTCATTTGTATCAGTATAACAAAGTAGCATTGTTTCCTATATTCAATTACTTCTTCCATTAAAAAAGAATGTCCCTTATGTACCCCAATAATGTATTTTTTTTGGAGGGGGGAGAATTTGAAATAGGAAATAGTATTTCCCATTCATCATCTATAAAAATTAACAAATTTTATAGACTTGTAGATATTTCTCCTCTTTCTTCTACGTCTTGACAGAGCTTTGTCTCTTACACTAGTCTTTGAACACATACAAACATATAGTGTTATTACAATACAAACGGAAAATATTTATGCTACTACTGTTCTACATACATATCAGTTTGGAAAAACAAGTTACATTAAAAATATTTTAGATGTATTTTTTAACTATTTCTATGAACAAATCAAAACCCATTCCAAATGAAAATTAACAATACATGAATATTAATATGCTGCTGTTTTATCAGATGAGGTTGCAATTTGTTGATCTTTCCATGATTTCAAGTTTTTCTAAGATGTCTACTGCTCAGGGGCAATGTAATTTAAAAATATTTTAAAAATAAGGAGGGTCAGAGATTCTTCTAATAGTAAAAAATATATGTTTGAAAGGTGTATGCTGGAAAAACATTTTCACTTTTTCCTTTTCTTCTAAAAAATAGTTTCCTTTAAGTCCAGAATTTTCATAGAAATATGTCAAATTTATCTATATTAGAAAAATCTTTGTTACATTTTTCCAATAAACAAATAAGTAATATTAACATTATATATATAAATCATATTTAATGACAATAGCAAAACATGAATAACACAGTCAAAGAAATACATTACATTAAAAGATTTCAGTATTATCTAAGTTGGCAATTTCTAAGATTAAACTAAAAATTCATTGAAATTTTTGAGAAAGAAGTTTGGAAACTGCAGAATAAAAAATGTTATGAGAGGTAGCATAACTCGATTCTGACTGCCTCCCTACAGTTTAGAAATTCTCAGTAAATATAAGCCGCAGCTGATAATATGATCCCTTTTCTTTAAAATCTCCTTGTTTGCCAGAACAGAATAATTTACAATTGAAGACAAATTGCATTAAACACTCATGAAGGGAATGAGTGTGTCAGCAAGAGCAACCCTTCCCCATGGAATTGCAACTTGGAAAAATTTTAGTACACAATGATACCAAAAAATCCCTATTTAGCTTCTTTATGTTAACAAGCAGGTTTATAATCTTTCTCTGAGGAAAATAAATATACCTCTAAAAGTATAATATTGTCCAGTTGTCAAAAATGGGAAAATGGAAAGTGAAAAAAAGTCAAGATGAGTATGATAATTACAAGAAAAGTTCTATAGATTTTTATGGAAAAAGTGTATTAATATCAGATTCTATACTATTATAATAGCTGTTCAGAAAAACACCTATGCAAAAGCCTGTAATTAACCGTTACTCTGGAATACATTACAGTTATTGCAAAATTGGCTCCAACAACATATAATGTCACTTAGAAATTGTCTGTGTTCTGTAAACTAAAATATTTGTGTTTATCACATAGCTAACACAACATTTCAGATCTTTTTTAATCAAAGCTGTAGTTTCCTGAGTTATCATTTCGTACCAAATGGTAAATGAAAAGGTAGATGCTAATCAGTGGTTTGTATTGAATAGCAAATGGGAAGGAGAGATGTTTCATTCAGGTGCAACCATATTTTCTATGTCATAACCATCTGCAAAATAACATTTATCTAAGCACATTGTACAATGAGGTCTAGCATTTACTGGGCAAAGCTTTGGCATCACAACAGGATTTACTCTGTCTATATCAAGGACAACACACTCACAGAGCAAACAGTAACCCAGGGATTCCAACTACAAGAGGAAATACAGGTTGCTTGTTACAATTCATATAGGTTTTGCAGCAGCAGATGGACATTTTGATTGGAATTGATGCCCGTTTGGCTCTTTCACCCTGCATTTCCAGAAGTTTGAGTTATAAAGCAAACAAGCCACAAAATAGGTTGAGCTTGTAGAACATGATTCTGAACACACTTGATCCTTCTCTCTCATCTTAAAGGTATAGATAAAATAATTTATATTCCTTATTTCTTAAAGTCAAAGCCCCAATACATTCCATGTAGAGCAGACATAACTCTCTTCTCTTCCTTCTGTCATTAAGATTAATTTCAACTTACTGAGCTAGAGTCCCATTGTGAGATGTGCACAAGTGGACCCCTACAGCTTGTACAGACTACTTTGAAATCCATGGTTCATGCTGTGACTTTTAAAGTCCATTTCATAGCTTCCACAGAGAAGTAAATTAGTCAGCTTCCTGATCATTAATGTATGTCTTCTGTATGAGAGCATAGGAAGAAAGCGTGGTCAAAAATGGGAAGATGCAAGAAAACTTACAACAACAAAGAGATGCAAACGCAGTAGTTGAAGCCACCTATTTGTAACCTTGTGCAAGTTTGGAGCTGGCTTCCCGCCAAGTCTCCGAAACTCAACAACAGAGCCTGTTTCCCAAAGAGAGAAGAAAAAAAAAGGAAAAACCAAACAGCCAAAGCTATAGCAAAAATATATATTTTACATATAAAACAGATATATACAGTGGGAATACTATATACCTATAACCCCAGAAACCCCAAATAGCTTCCTAAAAGGGAAGAGGGGAAGGGAGAAGGGAAAAAAAGACAAAAAAAGGATGAAAAGGGACAGAAGCAAAACAGGTATGCACAATCTAAAATATCTGGTAAACCAGCAAAATAAAGAACTGGCAAAATCTCACCACTTCCCTTGAGAGAAGCAGGATGGCTGAACGTGGCCCAGCACCCCCCCCTCACACATGGCAGACAACAGCAGTCACTGCAGGCCTCAGCTCCAGATAAGCAAGACCGAGGCAGGGACCCACTGTTCTCAAACCTCACTGGAAAGGAAGAGAGCGAGTTCTCTTATCTATGCCTTATTTATACCCCAGGTTACATAAAGGAATAGCATGGAATACTTCCTGGGTCACCTTCCTAGTTCCTTCCTGGTTACAAGCTGGTCTCCAGGAAGGCCTAGGGTGAAAACTATCACAAACCTGCATTTAAATAACGAGGTAGATATCAATTTGACTATGACACTTCAAAAATTCATATTTTCAGGTTACATGTAAGCTTCTACAGCATTCAACATCAGCTAAAGTTGGTTGACTTGGTCTGGTTTGACTAACGCAGGAGAGATATTTACGAGACTCAAGAGACATATAGCTTTGGGAAGAAACAAAAATACGGTCTTTCACAAGGAATCTAAACAGGAGTAGGAAGAAAATGGTGTAGTATTCCTGTTCTTTGGAGTCATATTGTGACATACCTACCTTCTCTGTGAATACAGCTGTCTGATCTATCCAGCCTGAGGTGTTGGCATTATGACATGGGCTTCAAGTATGTACAACCATATGCACAACATAGATGTGTTACGTCTGCATAATAGAGATTTGAAATTTCTGTTCTGGGAGGCTGGGCAGAGGACAACAATTTGGTTGATATTACTAATAATACTCTCTTACTAACACTATTGTTTGTTTTTTTTTTTTCATATAATAGCACAACATTTAAAAAATTCTATTCAGAACAGATACCTTCCTGAATATCTCCCTTGTGATGCTGGACTAAGACACCCTAGCAGCAGTCATAACACCCTATGCAATATCATTGCCTTCCAAATACTTTAAAGTCTTAAAGCTGGCAGACCCAGTGCTCATAGGCTTTCTGTCTGTTCTCTTTCTGCCTCTCCTATTACTTGTTACTGCTTTTTATGTTGTGTGCTTCCCTCATCACTATCTGAAATGAATCTGAATCTTGATTTTAATTCTTTTGTAACCCCTTTTTACTACTCTGACAGCCAAAAGACACTTTCTTACTGGCTTAAACTGCAACTGCTGCTAGGAGGATAATGGCCGTGTTAAAGGAGCACTGTTAACTCAAAGACTGATTGGGAAATTGCTCTACCAATTGATGAGCAATTGCGAACCACACTGAAATTCTTCTAAGCTCTAGCAGGAAGCATGATAGTCCTTGATTTTCCATGGTTTGGGGAATTTAATGACTCTTGCTGGTTTTCTTGGTCAGTTTCATTCAAAGAATTGTGCAGGATTGACCCCATCTGATGAATTAGACCAGACTCACCTGAAAGCATAACTCCAAGTCATATTTCAGAAAGACATGAATATATTTTGCCATCACTGTGAACTTCCCAGGAGCGATATAGAAAAAGGTAGCATACTGAGACAGTGTGTTCTGCAGATCTTGAATCAGGACTAACCAGCTTAAGCCCAACCCGGAGTTTGTAATGTTCATGTAAAGTACCACAGTCTCTTAGTTTTGTCTGTTTCATACAGGGTGAGGTGAAAAAATCTGGTACGCAATTTAAAGCAGGATGTGAACAGGGTGACTCAAAAAGGATTTTTTTCTCAAAACATAAACTGCTGTCTCAAATCTCAACTCCACTTAATTGCTATACAAATCCTCAAGAAGTAAAATTCATAGATGTTTCGCTAAAAAAAAAATTGCCCTAGGAGACCAGAATTTGCTTCAGAGCAAATACCTGCTAGTGTTTTGATCCACTTATAGGGCATCTTCTTTCTTTGGCCTAAATGTAGAAGATATGTAATCCAAGTCATATTCTACAATTTCCCTCTCTTGAGGTTTATGTTTGACCAGCAGTCCTTTGATCAGAACTGGTATTAATCTTAAGGATAAGGATGTCTGCAAAGTACAGGTAAATCAATTAAGGTCAAACACAGCTGTAAATACAAATATCAATGCCCATTTTTATATACCCAATGTTTACACTATACTGGGAAAGCAAAGATGACTAGAGGGGATTCACATCCTCTCACTGGTTGATCAGTTATTATACCCAGTAACCATTTGGCAAAAAATATGAGTTATCCCAGAGAGACAACCTACATAGTGTAGATTTCCTCTTTTCTTTGATGGGTCTGCATGGAGCAGTGGTGTCTAAACAACTTTTGCAAAAGTGTTAATGCACTGTTGATTACATTAGCATCTAGTTTGGCAGAAATGCATTGATGATCTTCAAAGTAATAACTAGAACCGAGCCAAGCAAGAACCCTGTTTGGCTCCTGGCCCTTAGCAGATGACTGTATTACTGATCTCAATATATACTACATTACTAAGTGTTATTCCACTGTGTTTCCTTTCTCCCTGGTACAATATTTATAATATCACTATCTTGGCAAAGTAGGTTGCCTATTCTGTCATGCAGTGGCACAGCACTTGTTTCGTAGATAAGAGCACGGAATTCAAGGGTTCTTAACCAGGGAAAATAGAGATTTTTTTTTTCCTTAAGCCTATCTAGCCAAATCGCTGTTGATAAAAAGAAAAGAAGTTCTTTTTTATTTTAGAAGAACTAAAAAGAAGTTATTTTCACTTGTAGAAAAAAAACAGTGAAGAGAGATTTTCATAAACAAGAGTTTTAGAGAGAAATGCCTAATTCCTAGTATTCCACTTTTCAAACCATGTCAGATCTCAATTGCAGCAAAAGCTTTTCCAGTTAATTCTGACACACGCAATCATTCCAGAAATTAATGGTAATAAGAAGTTTGTGGAAACCCCACAAACCACTGATGTATGCAAGAGCTGGAAATCATTTTTTTTTTAATAGTCACTACAAAATAATTGCTTACAGTGGACTTTCCTAGGTACCATCTAGAAGGAATAAGCCAATTTCATAAAGTTGTATTTACATTTAATAATACAAGATAATGCTTAATACATCAATACAAAATGAAATACAATTGCAACTGCGGTCTTTCAAATAGATGCCAAAAAACTATTCAATAGTTCAATTTCTTTCATTTATTAGAAAGAATTGGACTTGATTCACAGAGTATACATTTCATACTGAATAAAAACTTCTTTTTTACTATGTGTTTACAGCAGTATTTAAATGATCAGTTATAATAATTTTGATTGCCTTTCATTTTTGTACAGTTTGCCTTTTGAACTGACACTGATTTTCTGGATACTACTGATGTACTTTGCCAGCATGACTTTTTAATCTACTACAAGTACACAGGCACATTCAGTGTGCTGTCAAATTTTAATAGTTTTATAATATCCAGATAGACACTGCCTCAGGAGGAGGTTTGAAATACATGTTTGAAAGGAAATATATTTTGGCAAATCTTTCTTGACATCCTAGTCAGTCTTGATAAACATTGTTATCAAGGATAAGCAGAGAGGAGAAACTCCCGTCCACAACTCCAAGTAATCCCTATAGGAAGCCACCCACAAAAAGAAGATACATTCTCTTTAAATTCATAACCTTGTTAATCAAAATCCATTGACATATTTATGTTGAATTTAACATGAGGCATTCATTTCAGTAATTAAAAATGGATAATGAAATTACTAATTTGGCACCAAATTGATAAAAATTTGTGGTCACTTACAAAGGTTCACTGAAAGGTCAGGAAGATAATTAGCGTTCTCCTCTATCCTTTGAGTAGCAGGGAACAATAACGGAAGAAACAGAAATGCTTAGCAAATCAATGCCCGTCTCTGTGCCTGGTGTCACCAGCAGAATTTTGTGGGTTTTGGTCACTGATGGAATACAGGACACTAAGCCTGCTGACAACAGACAGGGTACACCAAGGATAAAGGATCTTTGCACAGGAGCTAGGGTTCATTGAAAGGGCTTTTAACTAGATTTGAAGCAGGAAAGGGGTAAAAGCAGGCTCACTAAAGAAAAATCAGTGTTTGAGAGATGGTATATTAATGAGGTGCTTCAGGCTGCTCCATGACGTGCTGAGAACACTTGAAAAAACAACAGAAGCTAGAAATTTTGTGCCATAGCCTACAGCTATGGCACCACTGGCATAAGCAAAACCTGCTGACATGAGTCCTATGACTGGTTTGCCATGAGGGATGGTTGCAGGCTCTTCAGGAGGAATTGGCAGGGCAGATAAGGCATGGGGGACGTGGATTTGGCAGTGCTAGATTAATGGTTGGATTAGATTATCTTAGAGATCTTTTGCAATTTAAACAGTTCTATGACTCTAAAATGCTGAAAGACCTCAAGGGCATGTCTTGGAGGCAACACCTGAGCCTATTTGGCTTGTTCAGCTTGGAGAAGGTGGCTCAGAGGTGACCCCATCCCAGTTTACAACTTTCTCAGCAGAGTCAGTGGCTGGGGAGGTGCTGATCTCTCTCACAAGGAAACACAAGGAAATGGAATGAAGCTGTGAGAGGATGTTCAGACTGGACATTAGAAAGGGTTCTTCACTGACAAGGTGGTCAGTCAGTGGAACAGGCTCTCCAGTGAAGAGGATACAGCACAAAACTTGTGAGTTCCACTAGCGTCTGGACGATACTCTTAGTATATGGTTTAGGTTTAGGCAGTCCTGAAGTCCAACTAAGGAGTTGGATTCAATGATCCTTACAGGTCCCTTCCATCTTGACATTCTATGATTCTATGTTATCAGG